CCTCAACCACCCCAACCATCACCTCCTCCTCAACCACCCCAACCATCACCACCCCAACCATCACCTCCTCCTCAACCACCCCAACCTCAACCACCCCAACCATCACCTCCTCCTCAACCACCCCAACCATCACCACCCCAACCATCACCTCCTCCTCAACCACCCCAACCTCAACCACCCCAACCATCACCTCCTCCTCAACCACCCCAACCATCACCTCCTCCTCAACCACCCCAACCACCACCATCATGGACCTCTAATGCCATTCTGAACCTCCATTAAACTCCTGGACCCTGAATACATTGAGGCAGCAAAGCTGGGTCCAGGACACACCCACACCCTGCCATTGGTTGATGGAGGAGGAGAACATGACCCATCCAGCTCCATCTTCCAGACTCTTTTTTTGTGACATTGAACTATACAAGCCAAGTACCCGGCCCCTCCCATCTATACCTTCCCAGCAATAAAACCCTGACCCTTCCCCCACTCCCTCCGGAACTAAGAGAAAAGATTTGGTTGGAGTAACACATGAAAGAAGAACTAAGAGCAGAACCTTCTATTTGAATTGAACCCAAAGAGAGAGAAATACAAGGCAGTCACTGCTGATCTGCTTCTGAAAATGCTCCTTGCTTGGCAGTCAGGATAAGTACCACAGCCAGGCACCTAGTAGAGTTGGGTAGTGGTCGCCTCCCCCGCCCCCAGTACATTGTTCTGCATTGAAGAAGGCTGGGACCTTCACACCCAGCTAATGGCGAGGTTGAGTTTCTCCTTGCGTGCCCGCTCCTGGAGCTGGTGGTGGTCCCGGCAGGTCACCTCCTTGCAGTGAGACAAATCCAGAGCCCTCAGGTCACTCCTGGAGCGAATGATGAGGGACGCCCCCCACTGGGTGACGTTACTGCTGCACAAGGACACAGTTCTCAGTCTCTGAAGGGGTCGGGGTGGACCTGACCCGTACACAACCTCAAACACGCTATCGAGGGGGGATGGGACCCCGAAGAGGGACAGGGATTCCAGCTGGGGGCTCCCCTTTAGGATGGACACCAGGAAGCCCCCCAATTTATGCTGGAAGACGCTCTGAGACAAGCCCTCCCCTTCCATCATCAAACTGAAAGTGTGCAGGCGGGGGAGGGGCAGGGGGACCCCGGGCCAAGGTGGAAGCTCCGGCTCATTGGGCAGAAGGTCCTGGCGGGGCACCACGAAGTAACCCTGGAAGCTCTGGAGATTCGGGCACATGGTCAGCAGAGCGGTCAGGGACTGGTCCTGACACCACAGGAGGTTCTGGACGGAGAGAACCCGCAGACTGTTCCCTATGACCTGCAACGCGGCCAGGAACTCCTCCAAGGTCCTCTCCGGCTTCTCCGAGCAGTGCAGGGTCAGCTGGCTGAGGTGCGGCCATTGCGCTAAACTCCAGGTTCCCAACGGCCGGCTGCTGAGAGAGAAAGCAACCTCCTCCACCAGCGGGCACAGAGACCCAAGCAGCGCCACGTCATCCTCCTCCAGGTCCTCCAGCTTCCTCAGACGAAGGCTCGGCCCATCTGTCACCGCCGACATCTGGTGGTGGACCTTCGGTGAGGATGCAGCAGAATTCGGCTGATGGCTCCTTGCACTCTGTACTCCGTTCACCGCCCTAGCGCGGGCGACCTCCGCCAGTGGAGGAAAGCCATTGAAGCACGGGCCGAGGTTGGTAAAACGTCCCTCGTACAGAAGGCTCAGGGCGGCGGGTAGAGAAGGGTTGGGGAGTTGCTCCAGGCAGGGCAGTGCCAGCAGGACAAAGCACAGCGCCTGTACCCACTGCTCCGGGCTGCCCTTGGGTTTCACGTCTTGGAGAAGGAGGATCCGCAGCGCCTGGCAGGAGAAGATGGCGCCCTTACCGTCGTACACCAAGGACAACAAGGAGGCTGGGGAAACCTTCTTACATCGGGACACGTCCAATTCACAGAGTCTCCGGCAACTCCTTCCGATGGCCTCCAAAACCAGCGAGTCGCACTGAGTGTCCGCCAGACAAAGCTTGGTGAGACGGGGCAAACCTTCGATCAGCGCGGCCAACGAGGCGGCAGGAACGCGGTTACAGGAGTGGAGGTCCAGGGAGGTCAGGTGCTGGTGGGAACATAAGAGACATGTAATGAGACACCAGAGCCCATTCACTAGAGGTCAACAAGACTCCAGAACGTGGAGGCCAATTTTGTCTCTTTTTTTCTTTTTATTACAAATAAGAACTTTAAGAAGCCGCAAATTGTGACCATCACCCCTCCAGTCCTATATCTGGCCTCAGTCCTTCCCTTCAATCTTCTATCTGACCTCTGTCCTCCCCTTCAGTCTCCTATCTGACCTCCGTCCTCGCCTTCAGTCTTCTATCGGACCTCCGTCCTCCCCTTCAGCCTTCTATCTGACCTCTGTCCTCCCCTTCAGTCTCCTATCTGACCTCCGTCCTCGCCTTCAGTCTTCTATCGGACCTCCGTCCTCCCCTTCAGCCTTCTATCTGACCTCTGTCCTCCCCTTCAGTCTCCTATCTGACCTCCGTCCTCGCCTTCAGTCTTCTATCGGACCTCCGTCCTCCCCTTCAGCCTTCTATCTGACCTCTGTCCTCCCCTTCAGTCTCCTATCTGACCTCCGTCCTCGCCTTCAGTCTTCTATCGGACCTCCGTCCTCCCCTTCAGCCTTCTATCTGACCTCTGTCCTCCCCTTCAGTCTCCTATCTGACCTCCGTCCTCGCCTTCAGTCTTCTATCGGACCTCCGTCCTCCCCTTCAGCCTTCTATCTGACCTCTGTCCTCCCCTTCAGTCTCCTATCTGACCTCCGTCCTCGCCTTCAGTCTTCTATCGGACCTCCGTCCTCCCCTTCAGCCTTCTATCTGACCTCCGTCCTCCCCATTAGTCTTCTATCTGACCTGTGTCCTCCCCTTCAGTCTCCTATCTGGCCTCAGTCCTTCCCTTTAGTCTTCTATCTGACCTCCGTCCTTCCCTTCAGTCTTCTATCTGACCTCCGTCCTTCCCTTCAGCCTTCTATCTGACCTCCGTCCTCCCCGTCAGCCTTCTATCTGACCT